GTCTCACAAAAGAACCCAAAGACAGCCATAGTACTGCACTGTATGTATAAGGGAAGGAAAAGACCACTTGTTCCCAGGGAGGTCAAAAGTCTATACAGGTAACAGGTAATAATTTGTGGATTCTTGATTTTATTTTGAGCAGAGAGGTGCAAATGGAATTTCAATTATCTGGTTTGAAAGAATACTAATTTTATAATATTTTCAACATAAACCAGTCACCCATCTAGACTTGTGCCCGATATCTGGTTCCATTCTCTGCATCTTACAGGGGCTGGGATTGAGCTGGGAGTGCACACTGCAATGTGCATATGTTGCAGGTAATGTACACATAATAAAAAAAATCACTAGGACCCAGAGGTAAGAGAGTGATTCTTTGGACCATTGACAGTTAAGAGTTTTGCAATACATTGAATTGCTAATCAGGTATGTTGATAAGCTTTTCAATAGATTAAGAGGTATTTATGGGAGTCCTGAGAGAGTGGCAAATTCTTGTAGAGTCTGTAGAAGGTTTAGAAGAGAAATAGCTGGTCTAGTGATAAGTAATAGCATATCATCACCATACATACTGAGTTTGTATTGAGAAGTGGATGTAGTCACCTGAAACATCTGGGTGTCTAATAATGGCAACCGCTAAAGCTTCTATTGAAAGACTGAACAATAATGGGGAAACTGGGCATCCTTGTCGGGTTCTTTTGCCAACTTTGAAAAATGTAGCTACATCCTGGAATGCGTATTTTAGTTTGGGGGTTAGCATATATAGCATTAAAGACATGAAGGAATTCCCCTTGGATGCCATAACTTAGAATGGTGGCTAAGTATTCCCATGTAACTCTGTCAAATGTTTTATAAATGTCTAAACTTAGAAAATTGAGCGTGATTTCAAATTGGCGTCTTGGATGGATCGCTTGGATGGATCGCTTCTCGGCCTTTTGGCTAAGATCAAGTGTAGTATCTGTTCTTATCAGTGTCCAGTGGGGGTGCTCCCGGCCATTCTAGCTTTGTGGGGATGGCTGTTGTATAGTACCCTCACTGGTATGATGGGGGTCCGGAAGGCTAGTACCGGAGGGACAGAAACCGGGGAGCGCCATGAGTCATTCTGGGGCCCTGGGAGTAATTCCTCCGAGAAGACTGGAAAGACCCAGTACCTCCTGATTTGGAAGGATCTACCTTGGTCTGGCCAGGGGCTGAGGAGGCAGAAAGTCCGCAAACACGGTGCCCCCTGAGTAGTCGCCTCAGGGGTGCTCTGAGTAGCACTTGGGTGTGGGACCCCACGTTGTGAATGAGCACATGGTCACCGCGTTTAAAACACTTTTTGCACTGCGCCTCTAGGACCGGGCCTTTTGGCCAAGTCCTGGGCAATTTTTTTGCTACAGGCCTCAGGGTCTGGTCAGTGCACAATTTGGGCACGACACTTTTTTATTATTTTTATAGATTTATTTAATTATTTATTTATTTATTTTTTCTCACCCCACGTTTGTCACTTTTACTTATGTGTGTGTTTTTTTCACAGGATGGAGGGTGTGGGTCCTCGGGCCTGCCCTGAAGTCTAGGGGGAGGATGTGTGGCCTTTTGGTTCCTTCCTCCCCTGTCCCTGGGGGGTTTTCTCTTCGGGAGAGCCCCTCGACCAAGTACTGGATGTCAGGCGTCGGCTGGACATAAGGAAAGGTGGTCCACCAGGCCTTTTGGCCAGAAGGACCAAACGGGAACCTTGTCCCTGTCAGGAGCTTCGTGCCCCGGGGGATCAGGGTAGTGGTCCAACCCCTTCGGGGGTAGGACAAAGCACACCCCTAAGTGCACTTTTTGTGTGGTGTTTTTGCACTTGCACTTTTTTGTGAAACACTTACGGGTTTTTCGTTCTAGTTTGCACGTTTTCGGACTAAAAAAAAAAAAAAATTGGCGTCTTGGATGATGTTGGTGGCTAATCTTATATTATCAGTAATTTGGCAGTTTGGTATAAATCCTAATTAAAATGCAAATCATTGCTTGATGCAGATCAATATTTTTAAAGCCATTTATTCTAAACTGGGTACAGGTGTTTCAGGCTTGCTGGTCATCAGGGCAGTGCATGGGAAAATGACCTGTATAGCATAGCGCTTGGGAACCAATTAGAAAATATAACCAGTAAGGTTATGGTGAAAGGGATAAAAGGAACAAAAATCAATGCAATGGTACACAGTGGAGCACAGAACACACTGGCTTGGAATGAGTAATAATTATCTTGGGGCAGCACAGTGGCTAAATGGTTAGCACTTCCACCTGGCAGTACTAGGGTCGGTGGTTTGAATCCCAACCATGGCACCACCTGCCTGGAGTTTGCATATTCTCCCTGTGCCTGCGTGGGATTCCTCCAAGTACTCCGGTTTTTCCTCCCACACTCCAAAGACATGCTGGTAGGTGAACTGGATCCTGTCTAAATTGGCCGTAGTATGTGTATGTATGAATGTGAGTTAGGGACCTTAGATTGTTACACCCCTTGAGGGTTAGGGACTGATGTGAATGTACAATATATATGAAAAGCGCTGCGTAAATTGATGGCTCTCTATAAGTACCTGAAATAAATAAATATTATTTTAGGAATATATGATGCAGCAAGACATATACAGTAAATTCCTTTATTCTAAGAAGGATCTATTTATTATACTTTCATATTACTCATTCATAAGAATAAAGGCAGTACAGTAAAGTAAGGACATGTCACCAGGTTTTGAACAATTATATAAACTATCAAATGTTAGGTAACATACGAGAGTCCTTTGAATAATGTAATTATTAAAAACCTCATTTACACACAATATTTTATGAATTGCATTGTTATACTGTTTGTGCATGCAAGTGCATTAGCTGATAGATAACTGGATGGATAGCAAATGCTTTGATTTGCCTCTACATTCATAAAACCTAACAATTAATAATCTTTTTTTACATTTTTGTAGTTTTAGTTGTAGTGGTTTCTGGATTTAGTGCCTTACTTAATTTGTTCAATTTAAAGGTATCTTACAATATCAGTGAATTGAAAGTAAGTAGGTTAAGAACATCCATTAGCTACGTGATAAGGATTAAACTTGGGAACACTGAATTTACAGTATTGCTGCTTATGTGATGAAATTAGAGCAGCTTGGCAGTTAATGAGCTGTTCACATAATATCTGCTGACTAAGTATAGGCATTTATTGTCAGAATAAGCCTGTGGTGCATTAAATGGAGTTTGGAGCAAATCCTGAAGCAGCAGAAAATTTAATTATTAACTGCTAGAACTTAATGTGTTTCCACTGTCCATTTGTTTTGTATTGCGCTGATGTTGAAGTTTTGTACATCATTTTCTACATATTATTTGGTATTTTTAGGCAGGTAAAAATATCAAATATTGCACATGAATATTTTTATTTTTTTATAGCTAGCAAGTGAAACATTATTTTTTCCTTTCACATATTTCTCACTGGTTAGCAGTCTGTTGTAAAAAACCTGTTATTTACACAACTCTATACCTATGCTTCAAATATAAAACTGACTCATTCCTATCTAATAGCTCAGTGCAAAGTTTCATTCAGGCAGCATCACTGGCAAGGCATTATGTAACTGCTGTGCTGTTTTGTTTTTCTTTCGATAACCAATTGTTTTCTGGGAAACCTTTCTTATGTATTAAGTATTTCATTGTAAAACAAATTTTGTAAATAGATAGTGAATTCTTATAAATAAAATAAATAAAGTAAAATAAAATAAATAAAGTAAAATAAAATAAATTGATACAAAACCATTATTGTTTCCTTTAAATATGCAAATTAGAGGAACAATTTAGTGCAGAAAGGACTGGTTTATATTAACACAATGTTAATTGCATTAGTCAGGCTCACATTTCCACTCCATGCCCTGATGCCTTGGCCCAGGGATGATGCCCCTCTCTTCCTATTCACCAGAGGCAGTGCTCCTCATTGGCACTGACTCCTCATTGGTCAGTCATGCTACACCCCCCACACACACAGCATCCCAGTTGCTAACTAATGCTGTTGAATTGCCTGTTCCCCCCCCCCTCTAGACTTATTGGCTTCGGAGCTTTGGCACTCTATTTGAACATCACAATCCCAGGGCTCTGGGCTGATGATAACGTTTGCTATCTAGCACCCTACATGTTGATCTCTGACTGTTGTGTTACCTGTCGACTGGTTCTATCATAACTGACTACTCTTTTGCATTGCTGCCTAACTTTACTTTGGATTGTTTATTGAACTCACGACCTACCCTGACCTCGGAATTGTCTATTGCAGTGGTTCTCAACCTTTCTAATGCCACGACCCTTTAATACAGTTCCTCATGTTGTGGTGATCCCCAGCCATAAAATTATTTTCGTTGCTACTTCATAACTATAATTTTGCAGTGCAAGGAGTAGCACCACATCATTGGTGTCAGTGGGAGGAGTAGTGCCACATCACTGATGTCAGAGGGAGGAATAGTGTCCCATCGTTGGTATCAGTGGGAGGAATAGTGTCCCATCATTGGTATCAGTGGGAGGAATAGTGTCCCATCATTGGTATCAGTGGGAGGAATAGTGTCCCATCATTGGTATCAGTGGGAGAAATAGTGCCACATCGTTGGTATCAGTTGGAGGAATAGTGCCCCATCATTGGTGTCAGTGTGGGAGGAATAGTGCCCCATCATTGATATCAGTGTGTTGGGGGAAATAGTGCCCCATCATTGGTGTCAGTGAGGGGGGGGATAGTGCCCCATCATTGGTGTCAGTGGGGGGGAGGAATAGTGTCCCATCATAGGTGTCAGTGGGGGGGAGGAATAGTGCCCCATCGTTGGTGCCAGTGGGGGGAGGAATAGTGCCCCATCGTTGGTGCCAGTGGGGGAAGTAATAGTGCCCCATCATTGGTGTCAGTGGGGGGAGGAATAGTGCCCCATCATTGGTGTCAGTGGGGGGGAATAGTGCCCCATCATTGTTGTCAGTGGGAGGAATAGTGCCCCATCATTGGTATTAGTGACACCAATGATGGGGCACTATTCCTCCCACTGACACCAATGATACTTACCTTGCTGACCCCTGCTCCAGCCTGGGCTCGCTCCCTCCCTCTCCCATGTACAGCCAGCATACCTGGCTGCAGCAGCACCATCTACACAGTACAGACACTTATTGGTCAGCTTTCTTCCTTCTCTGGCCGATCTCCTCTTCAGTCGCTCCAGCAGCTCCCTCACTGGATCTTCTTTGATCTTCGTGCTTCCGCTTGGCTCCTTCTCTCCAAGCTCCACCTCCACGCTGGTGATTGGCCTCCTGTGTGCCTCTCCTGAGCTACAGTTCCGGCGGCCAATCACCGAGGAGGTGGAGCTGTTGAGTGATCCCGTGGGTGTGGCCAGATGACACGGGTGGCATGTCATCCCGCCCACACATCGCCTGGAGACGGATAGAGGAGCGATGTCTCGGTTACTAAGACCATCGGAAATATGTGTTTTCCGATAGTCTTAGGCTACCCCTGTGAAATGATCATTCGACCCACAAAGGGGTCACGACCCAAAAGGTTTAGAACCGCTGGTCTATTGGATTACACTTACTCGCTACTTCCCCTGACCTCAGAACTGTCTTCTGGACTATGCTTGTTTGCTACCTGCCCTGACTTTGAACTTGCACTGTATTTTGCTTGCCTAGCACCAGCTCTTAACTCTGAACTGTCTACTAGATTATGCATGCACACCATTTCCTGACCTTAGACTGTGTCAAGAAACCACTACCAGCCATTGTCTTCTGCCTGCTCAGCCTTAAGACTATAAGTACCCTTCCTTGTCTTATTTGTTCCATGCTGGTGCTGTCTGACCATGCACTATTGACCTGAAGACAACTGAGATGGGGGCTGCTAAAGGAAAAATAAGCATTCACCAGCTATAGTTCCTGACAAGGAACCAGGCTACAAACTGATTATCACAACCCATTCAAATTTACTGCCTGAGTAGTCATGGGTCACTTATAGGCCTGCATATTTGCCAAAAAGCTGTGTAATCTGACTCTCGCAATCTAGGCCTTATCTTATGGTTGCCTCAGCAAATTGTGGCTTCACCACCTTTCCAAGTCCTTTACAAGCCTAAAGTTAACTTGCAAGACTGCTTTCCTGGGAGCCTCTGCTTGTCTTCTAATTTTGTCTAAAGCTGCAAACTGTACTTCCAGGTCAAGCCACACTCTAGGGGCTCTAAGGGTCAACGGTTATGGATAATCATTCCTGGCTAGCCCATTTCAGTTGATGAGTTTTTCAAAGCCCTTGGCCTTCTTTATGATGGTCCCAATTGCACTTGCATGGCTGAATCCTCTGGCAGAGCCCTGCAGAAAGGTAGGTGTACAGCGGAACAGTACTGCTCTGAGTTCTGTCCATTCTGACTCTGGGTGAAATGATCCAGCTTTGAAAAGTTGTTCAGGTTGGGATTGGCCTATTAAAGGTTCCCTGGTGTAATAACCTGAGCCAAAGACCTTGAAAAAGGTCATGCAACTAGCTATTAAGTTGGACAGATCCCTTCCATTGTTAGTACCAGGACCCTCAGCTCAGGATCTAGAGGAACCAATGCAGAAAAGAGCCACATGATTATCCCTGAAAGAGAAAGCTAAAGGAAGCAGCTATGGACTCTGTCAGTGGGCACTATTCCTCCCCGCCAGACACCATGATACTTACCTTGCTGACCCCTGCTCCAGCCTGTTTTATTATTTTATATTTTATTTATTTTTTATTAATTAAAAAACCAGGCTCGCTCCCATGTCGCCTCCCCACCCAGGGTATACACTTACCCGGTCAGCTGTCTTCCTTCTCCGGCCCGCTCCCTCCTCATTCACCATGTGGATACCAGAGCCACTCCACTGCCAGCTGCCCCAACAAGCCAGGAAATGCCAGAATCTAGAGAAGCTCAGGTCTGTTTGTCCCTACAAACTGCAGTACTAGGCCTGAACCAGAAACATTATTCATTCCTGTCCAGCTTATCCTGAATTCCCTGACTCACCACTTATCTGCCTTCATAGATTCTGGTTCCGCCAGTATTTTATTGATAAGGGTCTTTTGAAGATTCCTTTTGCTACCCTGCAGAGTAATTTTTTCTATTATCATCATGGACAATTCCCCTCTGTGTTTTGGGCCTGGTCACTCATTTTACCTCTCCCATCACCTTGACCATTGGGGTGCTACATCAAGAATCCAATATCTTCTATGTTATAGCATCCTCTGCATCTTCTCATTTTTAATCTACCTCTGCACATTCCACACATCAACTAGTCCACAAGTGAAATCACATTCTGATCATCCACATGCCTTCATAGTTGTATGAATCATTCTAGGAGCCTGCTTAACCTTTTCACTCCAGCCTTGATACTGATACTCAGATTTTTGTCTTTCCTGAAAAGGCCACCTTGGAACACCAGTCATATGACTTCCCTAACAAACTCCTGCCAGATACCCTTCCCCGAGAGGATATGTCTTTCCTATATATATCTAAACCCAAGACCCTAGGTATGAAATCTTATGCCCAGGAAAATCTTGAGAGAGGGCTCTTCACCTTTTTGTAGTTTATACTGACCACAAAAATGTTGAATATATCAGGTCCTCAAAATGCCTTAACTCCATGTAGGCTCGCTGGTCATTTTTTTTCCTGATTTAGTTTTACCATCATCTAATATCCATGCTCTAATAGTTCCAAGGAAGATGTCCTTTCCTGTAGCTTTGAATTTTGGTCCAAGGGGATCTTCTGAGTACCACATTCTGCCTTCTGCCCAGGTCTTAGCCATAATATCTCCTGACCTGATGACTACAGAAGCACAATTCTCCAAACAACCTACAAATGGGAAAGCTATTTGTGCCACTCCATCTTAGGCTGAAGGTCCTATCATTATGCCAAGTTGGCTGGACAACCAGGTATTACTAAAACTCTTTTGTTGCTCTCGCTCAACCTCTGGGGATCTACCTTCTGGTTTACTTTTTCCCTTGCCATTCTCTAAGTGCCCATGGACCCATTTGGACTTCATTATAGGCCTTCCTCCCTCAGGTGTTCACACCATTATCGAGGTCATTGTGGATTGCTTCATTAAAATGGTCCACTTTGTTCCTTTGTCTAAGCTTCCCTCTTCAAAGTTGTTTGTTTGTTTGAGATATTCCAACTCCCCATAATATTCTGTCGAACAGAGGAATCAATTTATCTTAAAGTTTTGACAAGCTTTGTGTCCTCTTTGGCAGCAATCTGTTCTTCTCATTTGCTAATCATCCCTACACATCCAAAATCCTGCTCTTACTCTGACATTTCTTCAGATGTTCCTAATGCAAACAGTAATGTGCAAACATTGTCCCAAATTTGGAGTAAGACCCAGGTTAGTGTGTCCTCTCAGAAACACTGTACGGATTGTGTTCACTCCCATGACCTTCAGATTAGGGTCAGAATCAGGTCTCAAAAAAACAAAACCCTCAAGGTCCCTACACAAGAACTGGCCCCAAGGTTTATAGGCCCTTATAGAATTGCTCAACAGATTATCCTTTAGATTTCAGCTTCTGACCTCCTTGAGAATTCCTAATGTTTCTGAGTCCTGTCCACAGGGATACCATTCTTTCTTTTCAGTCTCCGCAAGTTGTCAGTGAGGCCTCTCCTAAACGGGGGAGGTCAGGATCTTGCTCCTACTCCATGCCTCACTGCCTGGGTTTGATCTGCACTCTGTTGCCTGGCAACAGAGATGATGCCTCCTCTTTTCAAATGGGTCAGTGGTGGTCTTCTCTCTGCCTGGAACTGACTTCTCCCTCTTGATTAGCTTGCAGTGCTGTACCCCTCCATAGCTCCCCAGCTTGCATCCAGTTGATAGAAATTCTACTTAATTTCCTGTTCTTCCCCCTCTAGACTGGGATTACACAGGGTTTGGAACTTGTGATAGAGTCTGCTACTTGGATCCCTACCTGTTGTGCACTGCCCACTGTGTTACCTATTGATTGGATTTATGATTGCTGATCCCTGACTTGTACCAGGACTACTCTTTTGGATTGCCACATGACTTGACACTGGATTACACTTGCCCACTATCTGTCCTGACCTTGGAACTCTCAACTTGATTACGCTGTCTGCCCTGACATTGAACTGTCCCAGAATTCTGCTACCAGCCATCTGAGTCAACCAAGTACTGGCAGGATTGCTTTCCTTAAGAGAATAGAGACTGCTATAGGCAGAAGAAACACTTGCCAGTTATAATTCCTGACCTAGGCATCAGGCTGATTATCACACTCATCCTTCATGTCTGATTCCTTTTATGCCCCGTAAGGATCAGTAGAGGTTTGCACCACATTAGTAATCAAAGAAAACATAGAAATTTGAGTTTCTAAGTCATAAGATTAATTGGCTAACTTTATAAATTAGAAACTCAAACTTTCAAATGAATTTGTTACTTTGCCAAGCATGATAAAGAAACCTAATATATGTCAGAGCTTGCATTTTCAATCTCCTGAGTCAGCCACTCTTGTCATGAAAATACAGAAGTAATATTCCTCATTATAGTCCCTTTCTTTTTTTCATTCTTTCAGTTCATCTAATTTTTTTAATTAAACTTATATATTGGGAATGTCAAGAAATTAATTTTAAAGCTAAACAGTAAAGCATTGAAGACTTTGAAAGTGCCACATCCCAAAAATTAACATAGAAAAAAAACATTGAGCAGAGAAGAGGGGAAAATCCCCCCCACCTAGCACCATGGGGCACAAAATTAAATAGTTTTTTAAATTACATTAAATAAAATTAAAAAAAACATTAAAATGCTGGGGATATCACCCCTGATTTTGTGATAAGTACATACAATACCCATTACTGGATACGGAAGCATATATGTAGGCTTCTACAAGTCCAGATGTCAATGCATTTTCGCAATAGAGTTGCTTCATTGGAATAATGGGTATTTAGATCAAAGTTAAATATACAAACAACATTATTAAACACAGTATACAGAGGTATAAGCACATACACATTCATTATCTATGTATTTTTCCAAGATATTATGATCACTTTCCATTCCTGGCTGTGTGGGAGATACCACACAAAAAGAATGCAGGCGCAATGATTTTCCATGTAAATCAATGTAATTAGTGGCCACACATGTAGGCTCTAAAACAGTAATATGTGGTGTCCAATGAACATACTCAACAAATTACCATAAAAGAGCCAATAGATACTATAAGCATGAGAACATCACTCACACAAAAGGATATTTCTGCATTAGCAAAGTCATCCAATATACAGGGTAAGGTGAGTGTTCCGGGACACTGATATCCCCAGCATTTTTGTTTTTTTTATATAATTTTAATGTATTTAATTTTAATATGTGTTCCATGGTGTGCAATAAAGTCTGTAATTTGTAAGTGGTGAAG